AGGAGGGTGGCTGGGCTTGTGGGGGCCTCACGGGCTTCCCCACGGCTCTGCCGGCACTCCCTGTGCCACGAAGGCTGGCCAGGAGTCATTGCAGGGCCGTGGGAGTCGGACTTATCCCTCCCTGCTGTGGGCTGATGTGCCTCCGGCTTCTCCTTGCCCAGGGAGTGGCTTGCTCAAGAAGAAGACGCTGGTGCCGGGCCAGGGGGTGGACACGTGCCCCCGCAAGGGCCAGGATGTGACCATCCGCCTGAAGGCCATGCTGGAGGATGGCAGCGTGGTGGAGGAGAACCCTGCCCTCACCTTCACGCTGGGAGATTGCGACGTCTTACAGGTCAGGGCTGGGAGGAAGCTTGCCCAGCTTTATTGCTGCCTTGTTTTTGCTTTGTGGAACAGGACCTCACCTTGGGGGGCGCGAGGAGGGTTTGGGGTTGGTGATGTCCGCGTTTGCGGGTTGGAAGTGGCCCCTCTGCCCTTGCTTGTGCTCGCTCCCCATGATGCTGTTCTCTGCAGGTTCTGGACCTCTGCGTGCAGCTCCTGGAAATGGGGGAGACTGCTTTGATCGTGTCAGATGCAAAGTACTGCTACGGTGCTCAGGGCAGGTGAGCGGGGAGGGCATGAGGTGGAGCAGGATGGCCCCAAACAGTGCTGCGAAAGCTGTCCCATGCACTCCCGGTGACAGCCCAGCCAGCAAACCACAGCTTCCATGGGCAAGGAGACTTGGCTCCCTTGGCACGTGCAGGGGATGGCTGCGTGTCCTGCCTGGGGGGGACAATCTGCATCACGCCCCGTCCAGGGGAGCTTCCGTGGCTCTGATTTCTGGGCCACCATGCTAAATCTATGTGGCCCAGAGGCTGGTGGACATGGCAGAGGTGGCAACAGTGCCACAGCTTTGTGCCCCTCTTTGCCCAGGAGCCCTGACATCCCACCCAATGCGGCTCTCACCCTGGAGGTGGAGCTGCTGGCGGCTCAGGACGCGCCGGACCTGGAGCTGCTCAGTGGGAAGGAGAAGATAGAGCTGGCCAACCGCAAGCGGGAGCGCGGAAACTTCTTCTACCAGCAGGCAGATTATGTGCTGGCCATCAACTCCTATGACATCGCCCTCAAGATCATCAGCTCTAGCTCGAAAGGTACCTGCTCCCACCCTGGCCGAGGGTCACCTGGGATCCCTTCCCTCTGTAACCTGGCTCTGGGGTCTCTGCAGTTGAGTTCAGCCCGGACGAGGAGGCTGAGCTGCTGGACGTGAAGGTGAAATGTCTCAACAACCTGGCAGCCTCTCAGCTTAAATTGGACCATTACGAGGCGGCCCTGAAGTCCTGTAACCTCGTCCTGGAGCACCAGCCGGGGAACATCAAGGCTCTCTTCCGAAAGGGCAAGGTGAGGCCGGGGCATGCAGCAGGGCAGGGCCTGGCGTGATGGAGGGCAGGACCGAGGGACGGACCTCAGCCATCCTGCTTGATCTCTATCTCACCTTCCAGGTCCTGGCCCAGCAGGGCGAATACAGAGAGGCCATCCCCATCTTAAAGGCGGCGTTGAAGCTGGAGCCTTCAAACAAGGTAGGCTGCTGTTGTGTGTTGCCAGCGATCCCGCTGAGCTGCATGTCTGTAGAATGCTCTCTTCTTGTCCGTGTCCCTGCAAACCTCGGTGTCCCCTGTGGAAGGCTGAAAGCCCCCCGTAGCTGTTCCCAGCTTCCTCCATGAAGGGAGGATGGAAATAGCCCCCAGGACCCAGGCAGCCATGGGGTGATGTGCCTATGGTGCAACATCTGAGCTTGGCTGGGCTGGTGGATCCCTTATCTCCATGTTGCGAGGCTCCCTCTTTGCCCTTTGGTCCTTGCGGTGGCAGGATTCCCTGCCAACCCATCCCTGCTTCAGCGGACCTGCGAATACGATCCCTGCTCTGGCTTCCCCGAGTGGCTCCAGCGGCTCATGCCATGGCTGCAGGAAGTGGAGCAGAGCTGAGGCCCTGTAGACTCACTCAGCAGCCCAGAGGGTGATTCACCGGGCGGCGGGAGCAGTCCAGTGCTCGGTCCAGTGCCCAGGCCAGGGCAAGCTCTGGTCAGGAATTTCCTGTCGGTTAATGATCAGCTGCAGCACTGGAGCCTTGGGAGAAATCAAAACCCGGCGTCAGGAAATGGCCCCAGCAGGAGCGAGCTGGGGGAGAGGTGCTGCCTGTGTGGGGTCGAGGCAGGGGCCTTGGTTCTGCAGGTGGGCTTTAGTCCTCCACTGGGTCTGTTGTTTTATCCACCTCTTTTTCTGGGAGTTTCACCAGACCGTCGTGATTTGTGTCATGCTCTGGTGCCTGAAGGTCATGGGTAGGATGGGGGACCTGAAAGCAGGTCCTTGGTGGCCCCACAGCACCCGCGGAGCTCATCTCCTGACATCACCTGCGGGGAAGGGTAAGCGGAATCCCAAAGCCTTCACTTCCCAGCAAGGCAGCCGCGGTGAGTGAGCAGCACAAGCGATGCAGGTTGCACTGGGAGCAGCTCCCCCCGTGCATCTCTGGCACGTCACTGTTGGCGGGGCTGCTTCTCACCGTCCATTCAGATGAATCTTTTAATTGAGAGGGGTGAAAAATCAAAATGCCTGGCAGTGACGTTACCGGTGAAACCACAAGTACAGCAAATTACTGGCCTCTCCGGCTGGCTGCCGGGACTCCCGGGGAAGTGGTGGTGCCGCTCCAGACGGCAGCGTTAAACACGCGTCGGTGAGTCATGGGCTACAGCTACCGGTGGTGAAAACAGACTCAAGAAATACTCGGCTCCACCTGCCTCAGATGAGGAAACCTGGTTCTCTGGGGCGGTCGGCACCTTTCAGCTGTTGCAGACAGTTCGCTGCTGCGCTCCCTTCTCCTGACCCCTTGGAAACACACGTTCTGGGAGCGGAAGAAGATGCTGACATTTGTCCTACACCAACATGGCAAGCCCCGGTGATCTCGGGGGTGCCTGCAGGTGCTTTGCTGTGTTGTATCCTCCCAATGTCCAGAGTCTTGTGTTCAACGCAGCGGTGCCAAGCGTGGTTTGGTGAAGCCCTGGCCGATCTCTGGGGAGCCGATGTGGGCTGGAGCCGGTGTGGGTCGCCGGTGGCAGTGCTGGCGTTTTGGGGAGGCGTTGGAGCCACCCGGAGTGTGGCGTCCCCAGCAGAGGGCACAGCATGGCTGCGGCACCAGACGGCTGCACCACCGCAACGTCCTTCCTGCCACCGCAGGCTCGGGGAATGGCTGGCAGTGCTGTGCTCAGCTCGCCAGCGCTTCTTGCTTCTTTTTGGGAGGCCTTGGGCGCCGTGCAGGATGCGGAGCTTTCTCCTGCAGTGCTCCCTCCAGCCCCAGCCATCGCTGCCGCTTGGCACAGCCGGGCAGGTACCGACACGCTCCTGGCTCTTACTGCAATCCTGCTTCAGACCAGGCTGAGTTTAAGCCTGCTTTCCCAGCCTGCTTCCAGACAGAAAAGTGGGAGAGCTTGGGCACGTCTGTCCCCAAGGCAGACACTTTTCTGTCTCGATTAAAGGATGAAATCCTTTTCCTGATGTCTGGCATCAGCCCTGGGCTCTGCTCCCTGCTGCCAGGCAGGGAGTGGCCTGGGTGGCCAGAAAGGACAGAAGGTCACTCAGACCCATGGGGCACCAAGCTTGGGTGTCCGATGCCAGCCTCATGCAGCCCCTGGCTGCAGGGGAGCAGGGCAGGACAGGCCAGCAGCTCCCTGCAGCAGCTGCTTCTAAGCTGTTCCATGGGGCTCCTGCACGGCCCTGGGGCGATCAGGTCTGGTGGTGCTGGCACTGCGGTCCTCGTCCCCTCCCCTGCACTGCAGGGACGGTGCAGGGCTGATAACCACAGCGCCGCGCTCTCCTCCCTAGACCATCCATGCTGAGCTCTCCAAGCTGGTGAAGAAGCACGCGGACCAGAAGAACGTGGAGACAGAGATGTACAGGAAGATGCTTGGGAATCCCAGCACCGCTGGCACGCCGGGGAAGTGCAAAGACAAGCTGCCCTGGGTAAGGTCCGGTGCTGACGTACCGGGGGACTGGCAGAGCGGGTGGGTGTCACCCCTGGGGTGGGGAGCGCTGGGCTGGGCACAGGGGATGTGTTAGTGTCCCCCAGGTCCCTGGGGGTCGATGCAGTTCTGCTCTCAGGCAGGGAGGGACACTGATGTGACCCACAGGGTGGGCTGTGTCAGGGCAGCAAGTCTGCTGGGAGTTGGGGGCCTGCACTCCAGCAGCCCTGCCAGGAAAACCCCAAGAGCTGCGGCTGGGCTCCTCGCTCTGTCTGGCGAGTCCCAGCGATGCCAGCTGGAGGGTCTGGACTTTGCTCCCAGCTGCTGTGCTTGGGAACCCGCTGGCTGCGCCAGTGGAAAGCACTGTCAGCTGGGCTGGCGGCAGCACACACTGTCCCCGCGGACATGCCGGCCACGCGCTGGGCAAAGCCGACGCAGCACTTGCCTTTTTGGGCTGCGTTATCTTGGATGCGTATTGCGAGCCCGGTGCTGCCCCACGGCCCTGTGCCAGCGCAGGCAGGGCTGCACGTCCCTGCTGCTGGGGGGGCTCACGGCACATCCCAGCTGCCGGTGGGGCTGGTGGCAATGGATCCCATCATCTCGCCCGTCTCTCCTCCATAGTCCATCCCCTGGAAGTGGCTCTTCGGTGCAACAGCCATCGCGCTCGGCGGCGTGGCCTTGTCTGTGGTCATTGCGGCGAGGAACTAAGGATGGCAGCGGGGCGGCCCTGCAGCACAGGACCTGCGCCGGGATGTGCCTCTCTCCTGCCACGGGGCTTCCCTGGGGCTCTGCTGACCCCTTCCCACAGACTTGCAGTTGCAGAAATACGGATGCTTTCTCTGCTGGAGGTGCCGGATCCCCCTCCTGACATCCCTCTGTGCCCCCCCGGCACAGGCAGAGCACAGCTTGCGGGGATGGAGCTGCAGGCAGAGCAGAGACCCCCAAGCACCTTCCTAGGCATGTCGGGGGGA